GCAGAGAAAGGGGAACCCTCCTACACTGTTGGTGGGAATGCAAGCTGGTTCAGCCACTCTGGAAAACAGTATGGAGGTTCCTCAAAAAATTGAAAATAGAGCTACCCTATGACCCAGCAATTGCACTACTGGGTATTTACCCCAAAGATACAAATGTAGTGATCCGAAGGGGTATGTGCACCCCAACGTTTATAACAGCAATGTCCACAATAGCAAAACTTGGAAAGAGCCAAGATGTCCATAAAGAATATGTGGTATATACATACAATGGAATATTATGCAGCCATTAAAAAAACACGAAATCTTGCCATTTGAAACGACTGGATGGAACTAGAGGGTATTATGCTAAGCTAAATAAGTCCATCAGAGAAAGACATGTATCATATGATCTCACTGATATGAGGAATTCTTAATCTCAGGAAACAAACTGAGGGTTGCTGGAGTGGTGTGGGCGGGAGGGATGGGGTGGCTGGGTGATAGACATTGGGGAGGGTATGTGCTATGGTGAGAGCTGCGAATTGTGTAAGACTGTTGAATCACAGACCTGTACCTCTGAAACAAATACTACATTATGTGTTAAAAAAAAATAAAGAAGATAGTAGGAAGGGAAAAATGAAGGGGGGGAAATCGGAGGAGGAGATGAACCATGAGAGACTATGGACTCTGAGAAACCAACTGAGGGTTCTAGAGGGGAGGGGGGTGGGGGGATGGGTCAGCTGGTGATGGGCATTAAAGAGGGCACATATTGCATGGAGCACTGGGTATTATAGGCAAACAATGAATCACGGAACACTACATCAAATAATAAATAAATAATTAAAAAATATTTACAGGATTAAAACAAAAAAACACAAAATGTCTTCACATCCCTTCCAGAATCTAGAGCTGAGTCCTGCTCCTATGTGGAATCAAGTATTTTCCGATTGAATTATTCTCTTAAACTGTATAGTTGTTTTGTTTTGTTTTTGCTATAGCCAAGAATATCATCAGGAGCTCCAGACATATATCCAACAACATGGCCCCACCCAGATTTTTTCATAGGCTCCACAAACAACATGACCAAAACAGAACTGTCAATATCCTGGCATTGCACTAAACCTGACCCTCCACTCAAATCCTCATCTAAGAAAACCACCCTAACCCAGTTGCAAAGATCCACCTTCTAAAAGACACACTTGGTTCCTTTCTATCCCTCACCACAAACACGGACTTCATCAGCAGGTTCAGTACCGCTGAATACTTCTAGCCGCTTTGGGTATAAAAGTGTAACATATATTCTATACCAATTATCCTTCTTTCTTAATAACAGAATCCCAGGGCACCTGGGTGGCTCAGTCAGTTAAGCGGCTGCCTTTGGCTCGGGTCGTGATTCCAGGGTCCTGGGATTGAGCCCCACATCCGGCTCCTTGCTCAGCAGGGAGTCTGCTTCTCCCTCTGCCTCTCCGCCATGCTTGTGCTTGCTCTCTCCTCTCGCTGTGTCAAAGGAATAAATAAATTCTTTAAACAAACAATAGAATATCAAATTTAGTTGGGACAGTAGTGTTTCCGGTAAAAGACCACATCAAAATCTGAAAGGCAGCTGAACTTCTCAGACCAAGATATTACTTAAACCATCTGTTGCGGACTGAACTGTGTCCCACCCAAATTCATATGTTGAAGCTCTAACGGCCTGTACCTCAGAACATGACTGGGTTCGAAGACAGGGCCTTTAAAGAGATAATCAAGATAGAAAGAGGCCATAAGGGTTGGCCCTAATCCAATCTGATTAGAGTACCTCTAAGAGGAGTTTAGGACATACAGAGAGATACCAAGGGTGTGTGTGCCCAGAAGGATGACCATGTGAAGAAGGAGCAAGAGGGAGACCACCTGCAAGGCAAGAAGAGAGGCCTTAGAAGAAATCAATGCTATAAATATTGGGTCTTGGCTTTCTAGTTTTCAGAACTGTGAGAAATGAACTTCTGTTGTTGAATCCACTCAGTCTGTGGTATCTTTGCCCTAGAAAACTAAGATACCATTAGATAAGGCTTTCTACTTTGACCGCTCATGAGAATCAATTGAGGAGCCTTAAAAATACTGATGGCTGGATCTACCCTTAGAGATTCCGATTCAATTTCTCGAGTCTGGGCATTGGAGGGGATTTTAGTGTATATCCGGAGTTGAAAACCACAGGTATAAGAGAAGAATGTTTTGCATCCTATAGGGGAGGTTGAAAATATTGGATCTAGCATCATGTAGAAGGCATTTCCTCCCACCCCATATCTCTCTTCTTCCACTGCTTTTTTCCACCTCACAGCTTCCTTTTTTTTTTGTTCTAGCCAGATCCCCACAGATGGACCCACAGATTCTCCCACCTCTTCAACCTATTACCAATCCAAGATCCATCGTAATCTAAGGCAGATTAAGCAGCTGCAGCCCCACTTCCGGCCCTCCTTGCCAAGAAAAGTTAAGTCTTGAGGAGCTTCACCCTCTCTGATTCTGCCTGTTAGCCTGAGCCAGGACTCAGAAGCTACCTTCTGACCTCTCAGTCCAATTAGGAAATGCACAAAACAAAAGAATCAGAGTTTTTACTAATGGAAAATAAGCATATGAAAATAAATTATCATCTTTAATCATCATGGAAATGCACAATAGGAACACACTTATCAGAATGGTGAAAAAATAGTGAAAACACCAAATGCAATGAAATCTATGGATAAACTGAGTCCCTCAGACATTGCTAGTGAGAATGCAGAATGTTGCAGGCACTCTGGAAAACAATCTGGCATTTTTTTCCCCAAAACTAAACTTGTAATAACTGGATAATACAGCAGTTGCACTCTAGGCCATTTACCCAGAGAAATGAAAATTTGTGTTCACATGAAAGTTCTCAACAGTTTTATGTTCCTAACAGTTTTATTCACAATAATTAAAAAGTAGAAACAGCCCAGACGTCCTTCAATAGGTGAATGGTTAAGGAAACTGGTAAATCCATATCATGGAATACTATTTGGTGATAAAAAGGAACGGATTATCAATCCACTTAACAAATTGGATGGCTCTCAGGGGAATTATGCTAAATGAAAGAAATCCATTTCAAAAGGTGATCATGCACCGACAGAAGGATAACCCCACCCCCCCAATAATAACCCTGTTTCCACTGCCACTCAGTAACCAGACTCCTTCCATACCCTCTACTATGTCTGCCTCCCAGACTCCTTGGCTGGTACCTGTAGCCCTCCCACAGAGTCAACCTTTGGAGATTGTCTGCCACCTTCCCCACATTTATAGGTTTATACCTAAACCAAGGACAATTTTATTTTATTTTATTTTATTTTTTAAAAGATTTATTTATTTATTTTAGAGAGAGAGAGTCGGGGGGAGTGAAGGGCAGAGAGAGAGTGAGAGGGAGAGAAGCAGACTCCCCGCTGAGCACAGAGCCCAATGCCAGGCTCGATCTCAAAACCGGAGCCGAAATCAAGAGTGGGATGCCTAACCAACTGAGCCACTCAGGCGCCCCCAGATCAAGGACAATTTTATACCTGCATTTACTCTGTACAACAGCCCAAGGAATGGGCAGTCTAATCTTCATTTTCAGAAGAAGATACTGAGTCACAGAGAGGTCATGTGACTTCACCAAGGTAAAACCCCTGGTGAATGGTGGGGTCAGGAAGATAACCCACACTTCGATTCCAGACCCCATGCCCTTGACCACTAAGCTAGACATTTTGGGTCTACCTGTTTGCTTTCTACCATATTGAGAAAATTCTGAGGACTGCATAACCACATTCCCACACCCTTGAGCCCAGGCTGAGTTGGGAGTTCCATCCACAAGACAGCACTCACCTGGAATTGCTCTCAGGCACAGCAGTGAAGGTTTAGATGAACACAGAACTGAGACAATCCTCCCACTTCAACAGCAAATAACAAACAACAAGACTCCCTTAGAGTCATAGATGCTTCACACGCTCACACGGCATTCTTGAGTCAGGGTCTCGCTTGATATTCGTGCTGAAGGGGACAATTGTTCTCTGGAGGTCAGAGTGTCCAGTATGGGGATGGCAACAATAGCAGCCATCTGCTCCCAGTGACAAGGACCCCTCCTATGTGCCAGGTCCTGTGACAACCACTTCATTAGTTCATTTGATGCATTTTTCACAGATACCCAAGAGATGCACATTATTAGTTCCATTAGCAAATGAGGAAACTTCCAGGTTAAGAGCCCAAGGTCACAGAGTAAGGATCTAGGGTGAGAGCTGTCCAACTCCACAGACTGTGTCCCTAAAGCCAAAGCTGTGTGGGGCAGACCGGCACAGACCTAGTTCAGACCAGGATGCTTTGAGGGCAGCGTGGAGATGGGAGAACACATCAGGAATAGGAAGAGAAGGGAAGGCACCAGGGAAGCTGGGAGCGTTCTGAGAGGGAGCCCAGCCAGCAGGGAGAGAGCAGAGATGCATCTGGGGAGGAGGTTCTACACACACGCACCTTCCTTGAACACCCCGTTGACAGAGAAACAGAGCATCGTTCCGTGAAAGGGAAGAACCCAGGTGCTAAGTCACCTAAACTTCCTACCCACCCGTGGCTTTCTGCGGCTGCCCGAGGGAGGAAGCTGGTGCTCACCGTCTGGAACCACATGTCCACCATGAAGGAGCTGAGGTCATGCTGAGTTTGAGGCAGCACACAGAGGGAGCACATGATGTCACATTTTGTATGCTTCAGCAGCTGAACACGCAGGGCTATGGGGGTGGGGGAGGAGAAACAAGCAAAGGTCAAGGGTTGCCACACCCTAGGCCCTAAAATGATCACTTCACACCCCTTTCCCTGCCCAGTCTTCCCCATCACACACGCACAGGGGTCCTTGAGCTTCTTCATATTCCTGCTTTCCTTGAAGTATTTGCACAAACTGCTTCTAGAGAGAAAGAGGAACAGGAGGTGGTGGTCTGGCCGGTGTGGGTGTTTCCAGGAGCTGCCCAGTATCCACTGGGGAGCCACAGGGCCCAGGAGCAGAGTTGGAGCTTTGCTACTCACGGGGCTGACTCCTCGGGGTTGAAGGGAATGGCCAGGGAGAAGCAGGCCTCATCGTGGTAGGCACCGAGGAGACCCTGACGGTCTCCAGAGTCGTAGATCGAGTAGTACCTGTGGGAGGGCAATGAGGACCGTCTGTCTCTGTGGTGTGGATCCCAAATGAGATTTCAAGACCCAGTCGGCAGTCCTGAGCTTGGGTGGCCTCACCCATCCCAGCCAACCCCTTCCCCAGATTCCCAGGAGTACTTACTGCTGCAGGAATTGCAGGACTAGACTCTTCAGGGCATCAGATCCAAAGAAGCTTCCCTGGAATCACAACAGTCCTCAGGACCACGGCTGATAACCCCTCCTCACGCACCACCCAAAGCCCGGCTTGATCCGCCCTCCTCACCTTGCAGGTCGGTAACCTCTTGTGGGCTGCAATACTGAGGCTGGTTGGTGAAGGTGAGTCCTGGCTGTCCTGGGGAAAGGAAGAGGGAGTGGGCAGTGTGGACCAGGAGCTGGTGCTGAACAATCAGGGAAAGGATGGGCCCCGGAGAGGGTGAGGGTCAGAGGCCAGGTGCGAAAGGGCCCTGGAAATTACATGGGCAAGACTACATTTGGGGTCCCTGTCTTGGGGTCCCTGATGCCCCTGGAGAACATGGTTGAAGGCGATCTGGAGCCCTTGTTGGGTTCCCACATGGATCTGGACCTCCATGAGATTGAAGGGTCATGAAAATTGTAACTTCTGCAAGACCTAAATGGCTTCAGGGCAGGTTTGGGGCAGCATCAGTGCCAGCAGAGGAGTCAATGATCAACGAATACACCTACCAGGCATAGTAACTTGGGAAACAATTCCAGGATGGAGCTGCAGAAATCCAGACAAAACAGAAAAGTCAGTGAAACGTTGCAGGTGTCCTTCATCATGAGAGCAAGCACACTTACACCTGACACACAGCCCAGTATGTCCCACCTACACTGCAGTGTCCTAGGCTTCCAGAGCCCTTGGCACCTCCCTTGTGGATGGGCCTAGAGGGAAAGCACACACTCTCTTCCCCCTCCTCTCTCTGATTCCATTCCTCGACCCACCCCCTCCTCCCTCTCTTTACCCCTGGGTGGATCCCACCTAAACTGTCCTGACTCCCATCTCCAGTGCCACCAGAAGCAACATTTGGAGCCCAGGCTCCAGGGCTGCCTTCTCCTTCCTGCCTCCCTTCCTTCCTTCAGGTCCCTACCAAAGGCTCCAGAGAGAAGAGGGAATGGGGTGGAAGCCCAGGGCTCTGCTACCTAACTAGGGGTCCAGCACGCTGCAGGACCATGACACCCCCCAGGGTAGCCCAGGATGCTGGGGCAAGGAGGTGAGTGAGGCAGGAACCAGGAGGCAGAGGGGGAGAGCGAGGGGGATGAAGACAGAAGAGGGGTTGAAGGTAGGAAGGGAAAGGTGAGAGAGACATAGGGGAGTAGAGACAAAAGAGGGAGAGAAAGCAAAACAAAAGGAAGGGACAGAAGCTCTACCATGGTGGTGAGGGTCAGGGAGGAAGAGAGGAGAAGGGGGAAATGGCTCTCTGCCTGCGGTCCTTTCCTTCATCTGCCCTGGCTGGCCCTGGCATCCGACGTAGGAATGGAAAACATGCCAGTGTTGGGCTGGGGGCCCACTGCACGCCGGTTGAAACTTTGTCACCTGTGTGAACTCAGTCTGAGCCGGGCATGGGGAACGAAGCAGCCACGGGGGCAGGAGACCTTCCCCAGAGGGAGTAGAGGGTCAAGCCCCAGGTCAGCATGGAGCTGAGGGTCTGTGGTTCCCTCTTATGATCACCGCCTTCCCTCCTGATGACCCCAGTGCACCTGTGCCTGTCCCAGTCGGTTCCTTGCCTGAGGGATTATACCCATGTCGGGCTACCCACAGGGCTCCTCTGAAGGACCAGTCTGGATGAGGTGACGTGCGGAGGGAGGGGAGGGGGCAGTGCCTCTGAGAGGCCTGTCCTCCTGCCCTCTCAAGCACCTCTGCCCTCTGGCTTCCATTCCTGTCTCAGGAAGCCCTCTGCTCACTGGCAGTCACCCACTTCTGGCCCCCTGACTCAGGGAATCCTGGTTTCTCCCAAGGAGGGCCCGGCTCCCCGCAGGGGGTCAGAGGAACGGATGTCATGATGGCAGTCCCCCAGGACCTCGGCCCTCAGCATGCGGCAGGAAAACCACCAAGGCAGCCTGGAATTGGAGGGGGGATACATTTGGTTCAAGGAAAAGAGGGTCCCTCTCAGAACAAGGGAGGGAAGCCCTGTCTCGGCAGGGAGGCGGAAAGGCCCATCTCAGCATGAGGCCCTGGGCTGGAGGGCCCCGCTCTGTCCAGGGCACCAGCACCGGGCTCAAGGTGGTCACTCTGGTCCTAGTGAGGAAGGGGAGCCCTGTTTCGTAGATCACACTTTGGGGATGGCACACCAGAGAAGGCTGGGTGCAGACAACCTGCAAACGGGCCTCAGACCAGACAAACTGGTGAGCAGGTCAGAGGAAAGGAAGGAGATGTCTAAGCACAGGCGAGGGACACAGAGAAGAAAGCATAGGGCCTCTGGTCCCCCCAAAGGAACAGAGCTGCTGCCTCCTCCAAACAGGCACCGTCAGGCATAGTTCAGAGTCCCACGGGGTGACACAGTGTACAACTGACCTTATGTTGGTTGATTTATCAGGGAGGGCGGTGCACAGGGCACTTCTATCGGTACTCATCTCTTCTGGCTGCAGACTTTTGCCCTCGTCCAACTCCCCTGCAGACTTCACCTATAATTATGGGGAGGAAACACGTGGAGCAGAGAGAGATGACCAGGATGACCCTGCAGCTCCAGTCCTTCCCTTCTCCAACAAATCCACTTCCCTGACTCTTGTCACCATCCCGTGAGCACTCCCAACCTCCTTTCAGAGAAGGATCTGGGTACCACACCTCACCTCACTGTTGGAGAGGTTCAAGCTCTCGATGCTGGCGGCATTCTGCATAGTGTTGGACAGGCCATCCAGCTGGCTGGGTGTCTTGGTGCTCGGGTTCGAGGGCAAAAGCTATGATGAGGAAAAAGTTAGAGTGAGGACCCCAACAGGGGGTATCTGAGACCAACCTGCCTCTTCTACCTAATCTCTCCCACCTTCAGCGTCAGTCTCAGCACTGGGACTGAGTCCTCACCTTGGGCATGTTCTTTTCATGGGTCTGCAGGGAGGCAGCCATGCTGTTTCTAGGATTTGGTACCCTTTCAATATCATGGGTGATCAAGTCTCCGAGAAGCCGAGAGGAGGGAATCAGAAGGCTGAGAGAGGCCCGGCTGGTACAGCTCCAGCACCAACCCCTCCCCACGTTACCATCCCTAAGTCTCCTTCCCAGACAGGCCCCTCTGCCCTCACCTGCCCTAGAATTACTCCTGTAGGCATACCAGGGGCAAAGAGGACCCTCTGGATGTTAAGAGATTGCTGGGAGACTACATATCGTTTGTTCAGGGTCAGCTGCGGAGTTAGAGATGGGGTCAGTGGCTCTTGAAAACCAAGCAAGACTTATTTTGCAAAAAAATTATTGTTTATCTTTGGTAATAAGCGTAGAGTTATTTTGCAAACAAATTATTGGTTATATTTGGTAAAAATTAGGGTGATTATAGAGACAAGATATGTTTCGATAACACATCTTTGTAAATAGTAGATTTTGACACTATTTGCTGTAAACTGGACTAGGTCCTGATTCCTCCAAGGGTCCTCCAGTGCCAGGCTACAACTCTCCAAACTAACATTCTGATTTTTCTCCCACCTTTCTGACTTGGAATCATTTAAGAACGAAACCTTCCCTTTTCCTGAAGTCCTGCAAATGAAATATAAATGACTTGATGTAAAGAAATCCCCATAATAGCTCTTTAGTTGACACTCTTTGTGCTTACTGCTCTATGGGACACTCAAGAAGAGCACCAAAGACATTCGAACTGCAAACCAGAAAGTTCTGTTAGATTGCCACTACCTGCCCTCACTCTATCTAGAGGCTTTAAGTCTGACATCTAGAAGTCTCATCAGCTGGCTACCCTCAGAACTCAGAAACTGGCTTAACGTTTGATCCAAATATGAACCTTTGTTTTTCTTTTGTTTCCATAGGAATGCCTTTGATTTGATACCTGATTACCTGAAACATACGTGTAACTTTGAGAATATACCTGCATTACTGCCTCCTGAAATTAGTTTGACTAAACCGACCTATTGCTGGGACTAAGAGACGGGACCAACAAGATGAAACAATACACCTGCTCCATATTTAATATGTGACACTCCCAAGGAAGTATTCGTGGAGGGACCTGAAGGGGGTCAGGACAGCCCCCACCTAAATATGGCCACTTTGACATGTGGATTATTTGAGCTGAAGGCGCTAGAGAATCTGCAGACTCGAGAGAAAGTTCTGTCCCTCCTTTAAGCACACAGAAAAATCTAAATTGGGGGTCTTTCCCAGAATAAGAGTTATTAACAGAGATAAATTTTATCTGAGTGATGCATGTATATGGTAGGTCAAACATCTCAGTGCCAAACATCTGCTCCTGTTATCACCGTGTGAAGTGCATTCCTTTCCTCTGAAATCCCACACCGCTACTCCATTCTCCTTGGTTCAGAATGACATCTATACCTCATGTTGCCTGATTGCCTTTGAGATTTACGTGACCGTGGATTCCTCATACGTACATCTATTAAATTGAAATTCTCCTGTAAACAAACAAACAAATAAATAAATAAATAAATAAATAAATAGCTCACTCACTCACTCATGGGTCAAAGTAGAAGTCTCAAGGGAAATTTAAAAAATTTAAACTGAATGAAAATGAAAATTCAAGATCAAAATTTGTGGGATTCAGCAGCACTGAGAGCGAATTTATACCACTAAATGCATACATTAGAAAACAGAAAAATGTTTCAAATCAATCATCCAAGCTTCTACTTCAAGAATATAGAAAAAGAACAGCAAAAGGAACCAAGAGCAGGATAAGGTAGACAGTAATAAAGAGTAGAAATCAAAGAAACTTAAGAGAAAAATAACAGAGGAAATGAATGAAATGAGCACCTGCTTCTTTGAAAAGATCCATAAAACTGCCAAACCTCCAGGAAGACCACTAAAAAAAAGAAAGAAAAAACATAAATGACCAAAATCATGGTTTAAAGAGGATGTCACTACAGATTGTGCAGACATAAAAAATATAATCAGAGTATATTATACTATGGGTAACACTACACACATCAGTTTGACAAACCTAGATAAAAGTAACCAATTCCTTACAAAAAACAATCTGCTATAACTCACCCTATATGAAATAGACAATTTGAAAAGTCATCTATTAAAAGAATTGAGGCTGTAATTTAACAACTCTCCCCCAAATCCAGGCCCATATGCTACTACTGGAGAATCCAATGGTAAGGGGAGATTTAAGATCAATTCTACAAAATCTCCACCCAGAAAATAAAAGAGAAGGGAATATTCCTCAATTCATTTTATGAAACTAGGTATAACCTAATACTCAAACCAAAGGAAGGAAGGAAGGAATGAAAGAAGGAAGGAAGGAAAGAGGAAGTGAGAAAGAAAGAAAGAAAGAAAGGAAGGAAGGAAGGAAGGAAGGGAGGAAGAAAGGAAAGAAAGAAAGAAAGGAAAGAAAGAAAGAAAGAAAGAAAGAAAGAAAGAAAGAAAGAAAGAAAGAAAGAAAGAAAGAAAGAAAGAAAAAGAAAAAGAAAGAAGAAAGAAAGAAAGGGAAGAAGTAAGGAAGGAAATAAAGGGAGGAAATAAGGAAGGGAGGGGGGAGGGAGGATGGAAGAAAAAAAATTACCTTACATATCCCCCATGAGTACAGATGCCAAAATCCTTAACAACATATTAGCAAATAGTATTCAGCAATATATAAAAAATTATACACCATGACCGAGTAGAGTTCATTCCAAGGATGGAAAGATGTTTTTCATTTTGTTACTATGGTGTATTACATTTATTTTCTTTCTTTTTTTTGCCTAAAGAATAAATAAATTTATTTATTTATTTGCCTATAGAATAAAATTTTTTTTAGTTTTTAAAAATTTTTTATTTAAATTCAATTAGCCAACATCTAGTACATCATTAGTTTCAGAGGTAGAGTTCAGTAATTTATCAGTTGCAGATCACACCCAGTGCTCAGCACATCCTGTGCCCACCTTAATACATTGATTTTCTAATGTTGAACCATCTTTGTGCATAAATCCCAATTGGTCATGACGTATAGTCTTCTTAATATGCTGTTGGATTCAGTTTGTTAGTACTTTGTGGAGGATTTTTGCATGTATATATAGAAGAGATATTGGTGTGGAGTTTTCTTGTGGTGTCAGTCTGGCATTGGTATGTGGGTAACGCTAACCTCATAGGAGGTGTTAGGAAGTGTTCCCTCCTCTTCTACTTTTTGGAGGCATTTGAGAAATATTGGTACAAATCATTTAAATGTTTCAGAGAATCCAACTGTGAAGGCATCTGGACCCGGGCTTTGTTGGGAGATTTTTGAATACTGATTCATTAGAAATAAAACAGGCACCTAATAAAAATTGTAGTGCTGTTTCAGACCTGTTAAATGATTACTTATGTAAATACTACAAGATTTATATAAGTTTACTTGATAAAAATGTGAAGTGTGCTTGTAAAAGTCGGTGTCTACATGCAGAAGAATGAAACTGGACCATTTCCTTACACCACACACAAAAATAAACTCCAAATGGATGAAAGACCTAAATGTAAGACAGGAATCCATCAAAATCCTTGAGAGGAAAACGGGCAGCAACCTCTTCGACCTCAGGAGCAGCAACTTCTTCCTAGAAACAACGCCAAATGTAAGGGAAATACGGGCAAAAATGAACTATTGGGACTTCATCAAGATAAAATGCTTTTGCATAGCAAAGGAAACAGTCAACAAAACCCAAAGGCAACCGACAGAAAGGGAGAAGATATTTGCAAATGACATATCAGATAAAGGGCTAGTATCCAAAATCTGTAAAGATCTTATCAAACTCAATACCCAAAGAACAAATAATCCAATCCAGAAATGGGCAGAAGACATGAACAGACATTTTTCCAAAGAAGACATCCAAATGGCCAACAGACACATGAAAAAGTGCTCAACATCACTCGGCATCAGGGAAATCCAAATCAAAACTCAATGAGATACCACCTCCCACCAGTCAGAATGGCTAGAGTTAACAAGTCATGACATGTTGTCGAGGATGGAGAGAAAGGGGAACCTTCCTACACTGTTGGTGGGAATGCAAGCTGGTGCAACCCCTCTGGAAAACAGTACGGAGGTTCCTCAAAAAGTTGAAAATAGAGCTACCATATGACCCAGCAATTGCACTACTGGGTATTTACCCCAAAGATACAAATGTAGTGATCCAAAGGGGCACATGCACCCCGATGTTTATAGCAGCAATGTCCACAATAACCAAACTATGGAAAGAACCTAGATGTCTATCAACAGATGAATGGATAAAGAAGATGTGGTGTATATACACAATGGAATATTATGCAGCCATCAAAAATGAAATCTTGCCATTTGCAACGACGTGGATGGAACTGGAGGGTATGATGCTAAGTGAAATAAGTCAATTAGTGAACAGCAAGGATCATATGATCTCACTGATATGAGGAATTTGAGAAACAAGACAGAGGATCATAGGGGAAGGGAGGGGAAAATAAAACAAGATGAAATCCGAGAAGCAGACAAACCATAAGAGACTCTTAATCTCAGGTAACAAACTGAGGGTTGCTGGAGTGGAGGGTGGGTGGGAGGAATGGAGTGGCTGGGGGATGGACATTGGGGAGGGTAGGTAGTATGGTGAGCACTGTGAATTGTGTAAGATTGTTGAATCACAGACCTGTACCCATAAAACAAATAATTCATTATGTATGTTAAAAAAAAGTGGGTGTCTAAAGGGTTACAATTTGTCAGTTTCCCTGAAGTGGTGGAAGAGGGGTTACCTTAATCAGACAGAATGTTCTAACACCCGATGTGGATGGGTATGGCTCATAGCAAGCACCGTGAACTGAGGGAGCTGGTTGATGTTTGGGGTATATGTGTACCCTTTTGTGTGTTCTTAGGTATTCAGCTTGGCTCAGTTTCCTTCTTTCACCTAGTATTTCTCAGAAATAAACTGAATTTCAGTGAAACAGATTTATGTTTTTAAAAACAAACTTGTTTAGAAAACAATTTGAATGTACCACCCTCACAGATAAAATTACTA